TTATGAAATAATGTATAGCCCAATGTATATATATATATATATATATATATATATATATATATTATATATAGTATACACATAAACATATATATATTATATATACATATACATGTATGTATATATACATATCTATATCTATATATACATATATATATATACATATATATATATACTGAAGCCGATGCACCCACCTACATGTTTGCTCTTATATATATAGATATATAGTATATATATATATACATATATATACATACGTATATACACACACACATATATATATAATCTATATCATGCTAACTGTGTATGTATTTTGTATGTGTCACGATTTATTTTTATTTGTAAGTTATTTGTAAATTGTCCTAACGATATTATGACTTTTTATAGACTAAACTTATTACATGGTCGTCACTTAGATAATGATGAATTATCAATATACCATCCAAAACTATCTTTACCAATTAAAAATAATGGTTTGTATATATCATGGGTGCCAACATGTTGACAGATGACGTAAACATGGTCTACAGTAGTAAGCAAATAAAAGTAACAGAGTACATCACACGTCTAACTCAATATTCATAAAACAACTCAACCACCCCCACCCCCACGCCAACAAGTTTGACACTATGCAACAAATAAACCTAATACATATTTATTGCCGTGTAAGCAAAATGTTTTGCTTATTATTCTTAATCAGTTACCTTCTTTGACGTTTTATTATTCCTGGATTTTATATTATGCCTATAAACATACTGTATAGCAATATTTTAATCATGGATGAATACTGGCCAAACAAAAATGGATGGGATGAGGAAGCTGTAGTAATAATTAGAAGCGCACATCAATTTATGCTGTTTAATAGACATGCCATACATCCATTATACCGCCTCGCTTATTAGTCATGTCACACAATATATCACTGTATCCCTCATGTATTCAACAATAACTGTTGCAAATCAAACGTGACTCCAACGTTATTTTCCTATCCAGAAATGTTCATTAATTTTAGAATATTTGCGTAATATATACCATTTTCAAACAGATGTGTTCGAAATTAGCTACTCCAGCAACAAATAACCTCGCGCCACCTACAGTTTAATGCGATGGAATTTATTGGTTTGTATATTTTATACGCGTTAGCACAAAACAATCATTAAAAAATCAAGAAATTTCTTGCTAAGAGGAGAGATAGGCCTATATATTTCGTTAATTCTGCAAACATCATCCAAGCTGAATAACGCACTGTTTTGTTGGATGCTGTAGCATTTGCTCTAAATGACAGCATCTTTTTATTATTATATTAGGCCTATTAAACAAATTCAACTGACTCCGAATTTTTTTTATATTATTATAATTTTATATTAATATATTACATTTGCTTACTTTTCATTACAAAATATTACGGTATCATTACCGGCATTGTCTTTAGTTTGTAATTGGAACTGGTACTATTATGAATAACAAGATTATTATTTATTTTGTATAACTTTCAGAGGTCGAGATACAAGGTGTTAGCGTTGCCCTTTGTCCCGAAAGACATTTTTGTTTTGGTGAAGACGGCTTCAACGACGATCCAAATTGCAAATGTGAGCAACCGTGTTTGAAGGTTGGTACATGTTGCCTTGACTACCTTCAGAAGCATAACGCAAGCTTCGATCAGTTTTTAGGAATGCCACACACGTGCGTTAACACATCGTCAAAACTTGCTTTCTACCTTGTGAACGTTTGCAACGATACTTGGCACGATTCTTCTATCAAGTCCCTATGTGAGGAAAATGTAGGGGCCAGCGATATATTGAGAAACCTCCCAGTGTCGGACCGTACTGAAGGGGTAGATTACAAGAATATCTACTGCTCTATGTGTAACTACGCTGAAAAAGAGGAAATCGTCGCCTGGGAAACCAGACTAACTTGCGATCAAACCTTATCGAATATAACTACATTTAAGAACATTGGTACTCAGTGTTTGGTAGAATACTATTCACACCGATCTATACCGATACCGTGCGACCGCAATGTTATCAGTTCATGCCCCGACTCATCTTCCACCTCCGAAGCTAAACACTGCGAATCATATTCTGCTCGAGTAAAGCTCAACGGTACGACATATAAAAATGCGCATTGCGCGTCATGCAATAATGTTGAAGTCAGAAGCCTCAATTGTACGAATGTCGAGACCGAGGAGAAAACGATGATTTTAATTAGTGTTGGCCAACCTAAATCACTGTCAATTCTCTTCGATTTTTCTGTAAGTGGCAATGCTCAAGTAAGCAGAAGTGACTACACTGTACCGGAAATACATGGTTCGTGTAATCCCAATGAAATATATAATCCATTTGAAGAAAAATGCGTCGTTCTATCATGTGCCGACGGTATGATTTTCATTGACGATGAATGCCGTCCCCTAAAGGCAGAAAAAAATTTGAACACATGTGAAACCTCTTCTTTGATCGTTGATTACATCACATCTGACAATACGACGTCCGGAATACAGTGTCTTGAAGAAACTTTAGATATACATGACCTAGACTTTACAAATGTGAATGTTTCTCAATGCAATGGAGGCAATTGTTACCACATGAATCTGCAGATCTTGGACGTAAATTCCTCTCTACCCGAAGATTTAAATAAATTGTTTTATAGGTCATTTCTTGAGAAAGACTTATTGGGTAGTCTGTGCAATATTTCCTCTATAGATGTGGTACACTTGTGCCGCAATGTTCCTCGTGACACGTGCAATTCTACCATCAATGAAAATAAGGTTGCAAGTTCATCAAAATCGATCTCTGGATCATATGACATTGATTGGAGGTATGGATTCTGGTATGACACAGATAGACAGATTTACAGCACGTCATCAAATGTCCGTACATGTAATTCCAACGTTAATACAAATCTGAAATGCCCATTCGTTAAATACCCATCTAATGAATTCCGCGAGCAAAGTAACAAAGCAGACCATATAGTCCATAAGGTTTCTGGGAACATTTATGGCCCAGCTGAATTTGAGAACTTGAACAATGGAAGCATTTTGGTGTGTCCCGATCTGAACCCTACACCCGAAGCTGTTAATAGCACGAACCCTGGTAGCACAAACATGCAGAGCATGTTAACTGTAGTAGGTACAGTTCTCTCGCTAGTAGCATTATTTTTAACGTTTATGTGTTATTGTTACTTTAGAACCCTACGGACACTGCCCGGTAAATCCGTTATGAACCTTGTCATCGCGTTGTTTTTCTCAATGTTTATTTTTATTGTCGGATCTGCTCAAACACAACATGTCACTCTATGTACCATTGTTGCTGTCTTGCTACATTTCTTCTGGCTTGCATCTTTCTTCTGGATGAACGTTCTCGCATTCGATGTCCGTCGAACGTTTAACTATAATTGTAATTTACCCAATGCACATCGCAATCGTAGAACCCTGATCGTGTATGCTCTGTACGCCTGGGGTTCTCCAGCTATCATTGTTGGTACGTGCCTAGCTATCATATATTCACCAGTAGAAATTGGTGTGTATTATGGCAACAGCGAAGTCTGTTTTCTTGGTAGTAATACTGTGAATCTCATAGCTTTCGGAGGTCCAGTTGGCCTAACCTTATCTTTGAATGCGATTTTCTTCTTTTTGACCGTCTCTTCGATTAGGAAAACCAAGCAAGTAACGAAAGCAGTTCAGAAAAACAAAACGAAAACGAAATCAAGGCTGACGGAACTGCTGATATATATTAAGGTAAAATAATACTTATACTATACAATAATGCCAATGTAAACAACACATAGACCTATAGTTAAAAGCCAATTATCTATATCAAAATCAATTAACCAATTTACCAACATGTGGAAGCGGTTTTTGGCGAAGTGGAAATGGTTTTGTTTCCCATCGTCGAGGTCGGGGCTTCAATCCTTCACTGTACATTTCGCCTGTGTCCTTGAGCTAGGCACTTTTATCTACCTTACTTCAGTTTACCCAGTTGTATTAATGGGTACCAGCAAATTACTTGGAGTAACCTGCGGTCGTCTAGCGTCCCAACCAGGGGGAGTATCACACTCTCATCTGCTTCACGCTACAGAAACTGGGAATAAGTTCCAGCATTATGAGCCCAAGTGGCTCGGCAAGGATTTACTACTACTTTACCAAAATTCAAATGTGTGCATTATATTACATCTTATTCAGATTCAAATTTAATTTTTAAAGTAGGCCTATTCATAATGAACTAACACAGATCATATGGAATTGGTTACATAAATGAGATTCCAACATCCACAAATTCTGCGTTTACCATTATAAATTTGCTTGTATTTCACAGCTATCAACGCTGATGGGTATGTCTTGGATACTCGGATTCGTCGCAACAATTACAAACTCTGAAGTCATCTGGTACATATTCATCGTCCTAAATTCGTTACAAGGAGTCTTTGTTTTTATATTTTTCGTGTGCAATCACCGGGTTTATAAACTCATTAGAAAGGGGAACGGTGAGCCTTCTTCAAAGACTAGATCAACTGATGCGAAACCTGGGCGACCAGACTACAGTGATGTAAAGAAGATGAGTACAACTTCGAAGTGACTGGCACACAGTGTTATTATAATACATAGCGATACTGGCCTGGGCCTATTAGGATTTACTTTAAAAACTCTACTCCCAGGACACCAATAAATATTTATGCTATGAAAAAATATAACATAGTATTATATAGAACATTATTCATTTACTGTACATTAATGTCTAATAAAGAAATTTAAATTCCGCTTGTAATGAGTGAATTTCAGAATAATTAATAACACAGTTATGATTTCATACGGAAGCATGACTCAGATGAATTGGTTGAGTTAATAAACTTCTAATAGGCTGGTAATTAAAAGAAAACAAAAGAAAGTAACACTAGGATAAAGCGTTTGTATTGATAGGCCGATGTATGTATTTAAAAATTATGATTAGCTTTCAATGACAAACCAGGTCACTTATGCTGTATAAATGGAGTGCTAATTGGATTTTATTTCGGTGTAATTAGGCCTCCTATTTCATGACGAAGAAAGCGGCATTAAATGCAAAGCTGTAATATCTGCGTAGCTTTAAATAAAAAAAGTCTTAAGTCACTTACCGTACATCTAAGTTCTGATTAGACCACCGCTATTTTTGTATTTATTAATATTTATTTATATATCCATATTTATATTACAATGTATTACAATTGTTAACCCGTAATTTCGGTATAAAACCACAATTGAAATGCAGACTGAAAATGAGCACCTTACGAGTGAGTTGTAGGTTATTGCCAATATTTAATACTGTTTAATCGTACTGTACTCACACTATTGTGAATATAGAGTTGGTTGTACATACAGTCAATCGCGTAATAATGCGATTGACTGTACAATACACGATGCTCAATAATGTTATATTCGTATACTCATACATATTACTTCTATGGCCCTATTCATTCACTTTCTTGCTCCTCTTGACGAGTTCTGCTACCACTTTTCCTCCAACGTTTCCCTTTTGAACGGAAAGTTCTTTTGCAAATTGTTTTGCACGAGGAAGTTCAGTAGGCCTACTCGTTTCTCATTGCGTCTGTTGGTTGTTCTGGTCTTTTGTATATTTTTTGAGAGAAATAAATTAAATGAAATGAAAGAGGGAAATCAAAACATGTGATACGTTATATTACCTCCTCCTTTGCTGATTTGGGTATTAAAATAAAATAAATATATATTATCGATATAATGCCTCCACAATATTCATATTGACCGTGTGTTAAAATCAGAATTGAGAGTAGAATGCTACTCTTCTGAAACATCCAATTCAAGAGTAGCCTATTTCTATTAGGCACTTAGCTAAACTATCCTGTATAGTTTTATATTATATGTTAATAAGGACATTGGAAGAAATATAGATATATCATATTAGTTTTTGTATGTTATATAGATTATAGACTCACGAGCTGAATGGCCGAGCGGTTAAGGCAGGGGCACCGCAATCTACAGTCATAATATCGGCACTGGCTCGCCTGTGGTTCTCGAAAAAGGACTATAAACTGTAGGCACATAACCGTACACATTGGCTCTTGTGCGCTTTAAAAAAACCAGTACATCTTTCATTTACTTTTTTCCATTTTATTTATATATTTTCCAGATTATCACAAAACCTAGGACTATTCTGGCGGATTGTCAAAAAGCAAAAAGCAAAAAAAAAAATCACTGTGCAAAGATAAACAGAAACAAACAGGGTTCAGTTACATAAAAAAGAAAACAAGGCAGAGAAAAATGCACAATCACCAAAAGGAAAAATATCAGTAACAGAAGTAGGGATCTCATCCCACATCCGTGGGAATGCGATAAAAACAGAGTTAAAAAAAGCATTTGTACGGGCCTTTGCATGTCTAAACACAATTTTCTCAGTTGTACGGGAAACAGCTGGAACAGGCAACAGAGCATCATCAATGAGAAAATCTGACAAGAGGCACTTGGCAACGAATTCAACACGAATATATTTTAGTCTATTGAAGATTGTGGGAGGTTTTAAGGTGTGCAGCCTGTCTATGCTGGTCTTTCGAGACAATTAGGGGTTACCCTGGTGTACTGGTCCATACAGCCCCAGCTGTTACAGGGGTGGCGCCAGGATTTGCCCGACGGGGCAAATAGTATACTCCTAAACATTTAATATTATGTATGGTATAATGTAACAACTTAGAAATGACCGTCCGATGGAAATAGGCCTACTCTCCCTACAACTCAATAATTAAAAGAATATATAGAAACTAAAATACCTTTCCCTCAGCGGTGGCGCCATAAATTTTCTCACAAGCGGTCCGACATGTCCGACAGAGGGGTCCGAGCCAAGGGGCCGACGAAGCCTGGGTCGACGGCCCGAAATAAAAACTCCCTTCTAGGGTTTACGGTAAGAATTTTTGTTGTAATGTAAAATGTGCTTTTAGACCACAATATATTCGGGATTGGCAGTAAAAATAACGTTATTTGGATAGGAAAAGTATTATTTTTAAATTTTTGATCCGACGACCTAGTCGTTCGTCGTAAAACAGGGGGTCCAGACCGACGGAGGAGAAAATTCCCCTGCTGCCGCCACCACTGCGTACTCAAGACCAATGGCGTGAGTTAAGCCGACTGAACATCCATTAGGAATCAACTGGCTCCTTGACGTCATCACTCCTCTTACTCAATAATTATAAAAACACAGCAGCCAAAACACTGGTGGGAAGATGTATTAAACCACGGGTGGCGCCAGGATTTTCCCGACGGGGAAGTCCTCGATGGCGGAAGGAGCGATTCCCCCGACGTGGGGGCAGATTTCCCCGACGAAAGCAAAGTGGGCGTGGTCGAGCTTCGATTAAAAGGTTTCGAAAGTGGTCCAGGGGGCGAAGCCTTCGAAAATCTACTGATGTGTAAAAAATACATATAATTTATTTTTCTCCCGCCGAATTTTCCCTTTTCTCCCCGACGGGCGCCACCCCTGTATTAAACTATGTTATTAAATAATGTATAGCCCAATGTATATATATATATATATATATATATATATATATATATTATATATAGTATACACATAAACATATATATATTATATATACATATACATGTATGTATATATACATATCTATATCTATATATACATATATATATATACATATATATATATACTGAAGCCGATGCAGCCACCTACATGTTTGCTCTTATATATATAGATATATAGTATATATATATATACATATATATACATACGTATATACACACACACATATATATAATCTGAGTGTAGGTAAGAATGGCCCCGGAAAAAATGGCCCCAGAAAAAATGGCCCCGGAAAAAATGGCCCCAGAAAAAATGGCCCCGGTAAAAATGGCCCCATATGACAGGTAGGTAAAAATGGCCCCAATG